AGGCTCTGGCGTCCCTGAGGGGGTGCCCTCATCGTCCCGGGGGGCGGCCGGCAGCTTCAGGCTGCGCTCCTGCTCCAGCAGCTGGCCCAGGAAGTTGAAGCTGGGCGAGACGGACGGGCTCCGGTACTTCATGAACCTGTAGGCGTCGTTGGCGGACATGTCCATGGTCTTCATGATATAGGCGATGGCGATGGTTGCACAGTGGCAGATGCCAACCAGACAGGGGACGATTACTTGGCAGCTGGACAGCTTGGGTTTATAGATGAAGTCGACAGACTTGTCCAGCCAGAGCAGCAGCTTTTCATAGTAGTTGTCGTTGATGGGAACCCGCATGCAGCGGCTCTGGTAGATGAAGTCAGGCTTGCAGGAGTTGCTGGCATTGAGGACGTAGCTTATTCCATTCTGCGTCATCAGATCCTTGTTCAGGACGTCTTTCGGTGAGCCCAGGTAGAGGTGAGGCAGGATGTAGGTCAGGCCCACGCTGGGCAGGGGCAGGCAGGGATGGAGAGGCTCATGGGTAGCAGGGCAGCAGGCTTGCCCTGGCAGAGGCCAGGGAAGCAGGAGGAGAAGGTGGCGAAGCCCCCTGCGAGGATGGCCACGCTGCCCGAAGCAGCCGTCCAGCTTGCTCAGCAGGATGGAGAGGAAGCTGTATGCAGCCAGCACGCTGGCGTCCCGTGTGCTCTGGTCATAGACCACCACGTCCTGTGGCTCTGTGGCCTCCACCTGGCTGCGTGTGGCCGGCCGGATGAACTCCACAGTGGTCACCTTGCCCTTCTGCAGCCGCCACTTCACCAGCTCGGAGCAGCAGATGTTGACGGAGCTGAGCACATGCCAGCTGTTGTACTCCAGTAAGGAGCGGCTATCGATGACCAGGCCCCCCAGGCCCGCCCCGCAGCAGGCTGCCCAGCTTCTCGGCGTCCATCACCTTCCTCGGGAGCTGGTCTCCGGCCACGGTGGGCCAATGGGTGGTGGGGAGGGTGACCCCTGAAATGAGGAGGGCCTGTTCGGATGGCCCAAGTGTGGCCCTGCGCTGGGAGTGACCTAGCACAGGTGCCGGACCTCGTTCGCGCTCCCCTCAGGGGCGCCCCGGGGGAACCGCGCTGCGCTCAGGGCGCCAGCTCCGCTGCGCAGTCCATGGGCCCTTTGGCGGGGGCCCGTGCAGCCGGGGCAGAGGCGGGGGTCTCATATATAATCAGTGGTCTTTACAACTTCTAAAAGATAATAGGTTATTTACTATCCTTCTACTATAATTTGGTCTTATTTACAGAATGTGTTAAGGAATTGAAAACAAAGATCTAGACTTAAAATGCAATTAGCTCCTATTTTAAAAAATCCCCCACGTAAAAAAAGGCTAAATTTTAATTTAGACTAATTGAAAAATGATGCAGGTCTTAAAGAGTACGACTTAAAAAATATCAGTTCTAATAAGGTATATTTCTATAGCATCTTAACAGTAACCATATGTGTAAACACATCCCCAGAGTTCTCATAAGAAAGGCGATCACTTACCAATCACTGCACACTTGTATGTGATCAGAGAAGCCAAAGTTTTTACTTCATCTACACTCACATCAGTGCTGTAACGGATAGCTGGTGGTGGTTTTCAAAAAAATGTGTTGGGGTGGGTGAGAAAGAAGGGGAACAAATTTCAGTAAGTTTCAAAAAAGAAAGCTACAAATTGAAAATATCCCCTTCTTACATTTTACACCCAAGCTATGTCCAAAAACACTTGAAGCAGCTCATATGTTAGAACACCATGAAAAATGAATATAAAACGTTTTAAAAAGCTGCTAATAACAGTAATTATGATTTGACACGACAAAAATCACTCTGCAATTAATTTTTTTTACACTTTCCAGAAGGCTTTTTTATGTTTCTTTTACCTTTTGGTTTGGGTGACTCCGGGGTGGCCAGGACCAAATGTGTCTCCTTCTGGCTTTTTGCACCGCACCAAGTAACCCGCGCCAGGCCGCACAGCTGCCCTGGCCTTTCGGAAGGACTAAGGCGAGCACGGTGTACGCTGCTCCGGAGTCCCACCGCGGGAGTTGAGGCAGCGGGTTCCAAGGGCGGGGTGGGGCGGAATCGTGAGGGATGCGGACCCGGTGGAACGCACTGCGCAGACGGTGCCGACGCCCGCACTCAGCTGTTCACGGGTCTTTCTTCCAGCTCTCCCCTGAAAGCCGTCCAGGCGCCGGTCTTTTTTTTCTGCCTTTTTGTTTCCCTCCGGAGAGTCGGCGCGGCGGTGAATTTCCGTTTCCGGCGGTGTCCGAGTGGACCTGATGGGTCGCAGTTGTGAACAAGCTGGGTGCGCTGGCTGGGCTAGGCGGCAGTGGGGTCCCTGGCTGTGGGGCACTGGGAAGATCGCGAGTGGGAAGGCCCTCCCCCGGGTTACCGGGTCATCTTTGCTCCTGAGGAGCAGCATATTTCGCATCTGCCGGAGGTGTGCCCGGGGTTGTTGGGAGAGTGACGGAATGAATTGCTGCAGAGAGCCGGTACTGGGAGGGAAGGTGTCGAGGAGACGTCGTTTCCTGGCGACGTGGTCCCGGCAGGCGACTTAGACCTGAACGGAATCTGTTGACCCCAAATTGTGCTTTTCCCACGAAGAAGAAAAGGGAGACATTAGTACAAGTTCGGAACTAAAATATAGTAGAGAAGCAACATAACCTCTGAAATAACACAGCGATTCAGTTTCAAAGCATTCCTAGTGCCCAGCTCTCCTAACTCCCGGCCAGTGTTCCTTGACATATAGTGATACATAAAGACTTTCTGTTTCCGCTCGTGTGTGTGTCTGTTTGGAAGCCTCTGACTCACCTCTATGCTCCAGTAGCACCCTGTGCAGCCTTGCAGTGTATCCCTTATTGCATGGCACGGAAGACACTAGTTTGGATTTCCTCTGCAAGTCAGATCATAGCTATATCCATTTACTGGCACAGTGGCTAGCGCATCATAGATAGACCCAAACATTTACTAAGCAGAATTAATACAGGACCTTAATTGAATGAAATGCCACCCTGCGCCGCTTTTTTTTCAATCAAGCTGTCAGATGTTATGCAGCCGGACATCCTTAAAAAACTCACTAATTCAGTGATTACCAATTTATTGGTTACAGATTCCCAGGTATCTCAGAAATCACTGGAAGGGTCTCTGTGAGTCCATGGGGTCTCCAGGCATCATCTAGAACCAGTCATATCTCGCACATACAGATACTGCTATTTTTAAAACGTATGTAGATGAGTTGTTATTTAGGAGTTTTACAGAGTCAACAGGTACTAAAAGTAATACTGTGATCATATTGGAAGTTCATAAAAGCATTTTAAATTTTTTATTAAAATTTAAGTTTTAGTTTAAGTTAGGAAACCACTTCATTAGTTGATATCTAGGTCTGAGCTGTCAAGTGTGGTAGCCTCATGTGACTATTTAGAGTTAGAATGAAATTAATTAAAAATTCATTTTTTCAGTTTCTCTAAGTACATTTTAAGTAACCACACGTGGCTAATGGCTAAATGACTGAAAAGTACAGATATAGAATATTTCCATCCTTGGAGAAATAGATACTGCTGATGTTGACACTGAAGATGAATAAAAAGTAACTTAACCATAAAATGTAACCTTAGCAGAGGTAACTCATCTAATTTATAGCATAACAGAGATAAGTGAAATTGGGGATGGTTAAGCAGTTTCTACCCTTGTTCAGTGAACAAATAACATCATCTCTTCATGAAGAAATAAATGAAATTTAATGTTTTTCCCTGGGTATTGCCTGGATTGTAAAATGCTTCTCCCACCTCCTCACCCCAACCTTCTTCCTTGTAGGTTAGAGTTACTTGTTATTGGTAAGTAGACACTATGGAAACTAAGGACCAGAAGAAACACTGAAAGAAAAACAATGGACCCAAAGCTGCAAAGAAAAAGAAGCGGCATCTGCAGGATCTCCAGCTAGGAGACAAAGATTCCGGGAAGAGAAATCCCAAAGCTTTTGCAGTTCAATCTGCTGTGCGGATGGCTTGATCTTTTCACAGGTATGTTTAGCTACAGTCTGATCCTTCTTCCATTGATTCTTTTTAAATAGTAGGAGCCTCTCACAGGTGACATTTGGATTCACAAGTCTAGTCCAGCTCCAAAGGACATGGAGATGCATGCTGTGTGACTTTTACCAAAATGTGAGAAGCTTTGCCATAGAAGCTGTCTTGCCTCCAGCATCTGCACTTGGTGTTTCTTGCCCAAGATACAAGAATTTATAGAATTTGTTTGTTCCTAAACTTTAAACTGTTTCTATAGTGATAGGTTTGCTTGCCCCCCAGATATGTTTTACAAAATTGTAATATAAAATACAAAAGTTACAATACTTATTACTAACATAGCTTTATTTAGTGAGTCCTTGTGATATTCTTAGCAGTGGACTTTAAACATTATTCAACTAAATGCTTCCAGAAGCCTTACCAGAGTAGGAAGCATTCTTGCCCTCTGTCTATGGAGAAGAGAACTGAGGTCAAGAAAAGCCAAGTGACCTCCAATCATATAACCAGTAAGTAGGAGAGCCAAATTTAACTCCAGAGCCTCTGCTCTTATCTGTTATGATGCACTGCCTTGGTATTTATCTTTTGGTTTTTAAAAAACTATGAAAATCATTCATAAAACAGATTTAAGGAGTGTTTAATTTTCAGCTCTCTATACTATTGAAGTCATCTTGTTACATCTTTATCCAACAGCAGTTATTTATAGGGGGGTCAGAAGTTAATAATTGACAAGTTAATTATATTTATATATTGTCTGTTGTACTCTATAAAATATACTAAAGTACTCATATGTATAAGTGTACTAAAAATTTATCTACTTATAAGATTGATACCTTTTACTCTATTTTGAAACTGGTTTACTTTTTCCTTTCCTTTTTTTTTTTTTTTAAATGAATAGGACTCTGGATTTGAAGACAAAAAAGCATCATATTTCAGTGGTTGATTGAACTTCACTAGAGCCCCCACCAATAGTGGCAGTGGTGACGGGGCCTCCAAAGTTGGAAAGAGCACTTTGATATAATGCCTCATTCGGAACTTCACCCGGCAGAAGTTGACCGAGATCAGAAGCCCTGTGACGATCGTGTCAGGTGGGAGATGTCGCCACAGACACAGAGTTGGCGTGGCTGTTGTCATCTGAGGGATATGCGTGTGTTTGTTGTTTTCTTGAGTGGAACATGTTAAATTTTGTCGTATCATGTTACGTCTCTTATACTTTTACTAAGTTAGCTATAACTTCAGAAAAGGGTACGTTCCCAGAGATAAGAATGTGATATATATCTTATCCTGACTGCTCTATAGCTTTGCCAAGCATGTTCCTTGGAAGGGCCTAGCAGGCCTGGTCATTGTGAACACATTATTTAACGCGTATGTATTTAACACATAGCACGTACCTCCTACGTGCCAGGCGCACATGCTTGCCCTTATGAAGCCACATTCTGGTGGAAGTGCGCGTTTTCTCTTTTTCATATGAGAATTTGTCAGCTTTGGGAGATGGTGACCTTTCCAAGTTTGAGGAAAGATGAAACAAACTTCCAGTGGTGGAATGGCAATGTACAATCTGAAATCTCTTATTATTGCAATAATATAGTTGGATTGAGACTTTTCTTTATCTTTGGAGCATCCATATTTTCTTTTCCTTTTTTTGAGACAGAGTCTTACTCTGTGGCACAGGCTGGAATGCAGTGGTGTGATTACAGCTTACTGCAGCCTGAAGCATCCAGGCTCAAGCAATCCTACCATAGCCTCCTGAGTAATGTATGCCACCATGCCTGGCTAATTTTTCTTTTTTTTCCTTTCTTTTTTGGCTTTGTAGAGATGGGGTTTCCCCATGTGGCCCAAGCTGGTCTCAAAACTCCTGGGCTGAAGGGATCCACCTGCCTTGGCCTCCCAAGGTGCTGGGACTACAGGTGTGAGTCACTGTGCCCAGCCTATATTTTCTTGACCAGTTTCTTATTACCTTAACTTAGAAATGATTATCGTTATGAATATTCTGTTGCATTATGTTTGAGGATGTTTTTAGCGATAGTGGGAATATGGGAAGTTTTGATAGAGATGAAGACATGGTCCCGCAGCTGAACAGCAGGATCATGGTTATCATGGAGCCTGTCGAGCCAGAATTTTTCCTTTTTGAGCACTTTTATTCATCTGGGTAGACTTTTGATATTATTTA